ATATTATATGTATTTAGAACATATCTAAGTGTTACGTGCTCGGTGGGAAGACTAGAGAAATGGGTAAGTTGCCCGTGGGATGATAAACGACCCCTGACCCCGATGTATCTTTGGCGATGTAAAGTGAATGTCTATGAAAAATATATGAATGTACGAACTTATGAAGCTTAATTCAGTTTCCAATACAATTCTCAAATGGATTCGATATTTCAGAACGTGGCACAGTGCGGAATTTTGAGCAAAATTCAGTACTTGAATATACTGCTTTAAGAGATGTATTGCCTTTATAAAAAATGGATTTGACCATGAAAATTGTTATCGACAATGACATGTCAAAATTGTTTATGCATAATGCAATTATGCAATAACAATATAATAATTATGTTTATGAATTTGAGAAAATTTATTATGGTTACTGGAAGCTGCACAATGTTGGCAGAGCAAATTATTGGATTATTATTCAGACATGTTTTCTTTTATTTATTTGTTACGAGAATTACTCCTTCCACTTACGCATTATATATGAGATTTTTTTTGTAATTTTTCGCACTTTTTACTTGAAATCCACATATCAAGTAAGTCAGAATTTTTCACATCCGATGTTGACCCCCAGACAAACATCATAACTTATTAAAAAGCTTGTCAAATCGATAGCTGCAAAGAAGACTATGACATTTTTAGAATATAGGAGTTACTGTGTTGAAATCCATCAAAATCTCAGGATATGTTTTGTTGATTTTTTTCTATGTTGATTTAAAGTTTTATATCGTAAGAATGGTCACTTAAATTGTTGAAAACTAGCATAAAATGAGCGTATTTGTAACAAATATAAAAGAAAATACACGTACCTTCCTAAACACTTTCCATTGTTACTATGCTTAGTATAAATTCTGTGTTTAATCTTCGAAATGCTATGCTTAGCATAAAATAAATAATGAAAGTCGAACAACAAAGTATTTGCGTCCGGTTTTTAATAAATTACGCGTGATAATTTTGTTTGTATTTAAATTGATAATTTGTATTTAAATTGATTTTTTTTATCACCGTATGCTCTATACCAGAGCTGCTCAGGCTTTGCCCGTACGAGACTAGAGAAATGGGTAAGTTGCCCGTGGGATGATAAACGACCCCTGACCCCGATGTATCTTTGGCGATGTAAAGTGAATGTCTATGAAAAATATATGAATGTACGAACTTATGAAGCTTAATTCAGTTTCCAATACAATTCTCAAATGGATTCGATATTTCAGAACGTGGCACAGTGCGGAATTTTGAGCAAAATTCAGTACTTGAATATACTGCTTTAAGAGATGTATTGCCTTTATAAAAAATGGATTTGACCATGAAAATTGTTATCGACAATGACATGTCAAAATTGTTTATGCATAATGCAATTATGCAATAACAATATAATAATTATGTTTATGAATTTGAGAAAATTTATTATGGTTACTGGAAGCTGCACAATGTTGGCAGAGCAAATTATTGGATTATTATTCAGACATGTTTTCTTTTATTTATTTGTTACAGCAATCAGAGAAAAACTAAATAATATAGAGTTTGTGCTTGAGGATAAGCGTAATTACAGGAAGGCCGAATGTAAGAGTAAATAGCACGTAGGCAACTTGAGAGTGAAGGCGCGGTATGATGCAAGCAAGATATCTAGGCGTTCGGGACTCGAATGTTTTGTTTAAGGTCCGATAACGACGCAGAGGGCCCTGTTCGTTGGGAAAAGCGTTGCGTAGGACGCATTGGGACAAAGAACCGAAAGGAANATGTAAGCGAAGTCGAAAGACTAACGGCGTAGGAAGAGGCCTGCCCGATAGAAAACAGATGGCCAAGTCCCGGGCCACATTGTTTGGGCCAGGCCGATAAGGCCACAGCGTATTTCCACCCCTTAAAAAGGACGTTGGGAAAGCGACGAGTCAAAGCAGCGATAGTTCCTTGCGAGCGCCCAGACGCATAACAGCGAACACGCCGTATTAGGAACAATTTCTTGCGTTTCAATAAAGTTTATAGCATACCCTTACACTCAGCCGGTCTGTCTCTCGACTTTAGTTCGATGACGTTTGACCGGAGACGTAGTTCTCTCGCGGTTGTTCTTATTCCCCGATTGATTCTCGAAGGTGTTTCCTTCGGAGAGAATCACTCGATCGTTAAGCACCTTGATCGAGTTCGCTCTTCTTACGAGTCCGTACTTTGTAAGTCGAATCTCTTTCCGATACGTCGTGCAAGGAGCAGCTTCTTTGCGCGGATCGTTACCGCTGATGCCCGCTCTGCAATCTCAATTATATCCGGGTTAAGAATAGTGCCAAGAGGTACATACGTCCTTTGCGACGTCCTACCGGCTATCTTCCCGTGGGCAGTCGTTCAACCAGGCGTC